GCGGCGTTGAAGTCTCGGGAGTGGTGCTCTCGCGCGATTCCGTCTCGTCCGGACGCAGTAGTTACAATGATTCGCGGCAATGAATTCCCAGGCATGGTGCTCTCGCGCGATTCAGGATGGTCAGGACGCAACAATTACGTTGATGCGCGGCGTTGGAGTCCCAGGCATGGTGCTCTCGCGCGGTTCAGGACCGTCAGGACTCAACGTGTTGCGCTGTTGCGCGGCGTTGGAGCCGCGGGTGCGGTGCCTTGGTGCGTTTGAGGACTTTCAGACGGTGGTCTTCCAACGGGGCCGGTCCCCGGAGAAGAAAAAACGACGGCCAGCGCACGCGAGGCGCCCACGAGGCGCCCACGAAGAGCGCCCACGAAAAGCGCCCACCGGCGGCGACAGGACGAGAGCCTGGCAGCGCCTTTCGATGATCTGGACAGCCCTGTCGGGATTCCTTGGCGCAGCTCTGCTTGCACCGTGATCCTCCTCCTCCTCCTCCTCCTGCTCCACCTCCTCCTCCCTCCTGAAGCCTCCTCGTGCTCGGCGCCCTCCGCGCTGCAAGAGTGCGATGCAGGTGCGCTCCCAGATCTCTTTGACGTCTCGATTCTTCCGATGCGCGGACTCGGGATGGGAGAGAAGGAGGAGGAGGAGGAGGAGGAGGAGGAGGAGGAGGAGGAGGAGGAGGAGGAGGAGGAGGAGGAGGAGGAGGAGGGAGGAGGAGGAGGAGGAGGAGGAGGGGAGGAGGAGGGGAGGAGGAAGGAGGAGGAGGAGGAGGAGGAGGAGGAGGAGGAGGAGGAGGAGGAGGAGGAGGAGGAGGAGGAGGAGGAGGAGGAGGAGGAGGAGGAGGAGGGGGAGGAGGAGGAGGAGGAGTTTTCGGCAAGATGATGGCTCGCTGGCACCCCTGGGGGCGCCCAGCGACCCGTGGCTGCAGCCTCCCCTCGCGCCCGAGTGCACGCCCGCCGCCCGCTGCCCCGCAGTTCGCCGGGACCTCGGGCGCCCCCCTCGAGGTGAAGAAGGCGCGCCGGTCCCCACGAGGACGAGGAGCAGGAGGAGCAGGAACCTATGCCCGTACCCTTCCCTCGTTTTTCCACTTTTGGGGTCTCCTGGGAGACCCTGTTCTTCACCGCTGGATTCGCCTCGAAATTCTGGTCAGAACGCACCCAAGGAGAGGTCTGGGGCGTAGCGGTATCGGTACCTATTGGTCTCCCCAGAGGAGGGGGAGGAGGAGAAGGAGGAGGAGGAGGAGGAGGAGGAGGAGGAGAAGGAGGAGGAACAGTGTAAACCCAAGAGCCATCAACGATGTTGGATTACATCCTCCCTCCAAGCTCCCGCTTTATAGGCCCCTACAACGGTTCATTTCCATTGAGGGATCTGCCTCGTTGGACGACAACCGTTTGAAGACCCAGAAGTATGCCAAAACATGGTTCTCGGGATTCCAACGCCACGGATCAACCTGACTGTTGCGTCTTGACGATCCTGGATCGTGCCAGAACGCCATTCTTGGGATTCCAACACCGCGAATCAAAGTAACAGTTGCGCCCGCAAAATCATGAATCCTTCCAAAACACCATCTCTGGAACCCTGATCGTGGGAATCCATGAAACTCCTTTTATTTTTTGAACGAATGTGCGCGGCGCTAGGGCGACAGCCGCATTTTGAAAACCACCCGCCCTCTTACCTGTGAACCTGTCGCAAATTTTGAGAACGAATGTGCGCGGCGTTAAGGCGAGAGCCACATTTCGAAAACGGATTATCTTCAATCCGTGGAACTTTTGCAATTTTTCAAAACGAATGTGTGCGGCGCTGCGGCGAGAGGCGAGAGCCACATTTTGACAACGGGTCATCCTCACTCCGTGAAGCTCTTGCAAACTTTTAGAACGAATTTGCGAGGAGGAGGAGGAGGAGGAAGAGGAGGAGGAAGAGGAGGAGGAGGAGGAGCTGTGATCTTCTGCTTCACCAGCGGCCGCCCAGAGGGAGTCCGAGCAGATGGGGTCCGAGGATCGCGCCGTATCGGCGGTGTATCCACGACGTCGGCGATGCATCGGCGACGTCGACGTGGAGGAAATCGGGCTCCACATCGAGCTGCGTCGCCGATGCATCGACGATGCGGAACTGTACCCCGCCTGTCACTACTTGTACCCACCAAGCCGCCCCAACACAACCCGAAGGCCCAAAGTTGTCCTCCATTCTGTGTGGGGGCATCCTGGAATGTAAAGAAAACACATGGAGCCCGCAAGCCCTTCAACCCGAGAATTGAGACTTTGGGCTGGGTTGGGGTGGTCTGGTAGATAGTGAATGTGCTCGGACCC